GAGCAGGGAAGTCAATGTTTTGCTCGGAACCCTTCTTCAGGACTGGAGAAGTGTTCTGACCTGAAACATTTTTTTTCTAGAGTATCTGTCACATGGAGAATATCCTGGTAGACAAGCAGACCAAAATAGAGTTTGACCACAGATTCAGATAAGTCTTAAAATCATTGCAAAATGTAGGCCCCATACAAAATGAGAAATGTCAGTTCTGTAAATCAAGAATCCCATTTTTCTGACATACAGTACTGGAATAAGATCGCATAAAGATGAGGGCCATAAGTGAATTCCCTAACTGAAGCATATAAATGATGTCTAGCTCTTTAGAGTAGCAAGCCAAGTGGAAAAGTTTGTTCCTAACCTAACCAGACTCACTTAACTGATAGAGTTTTTAAGGAGGCAAAACAATGATTATGGGAGTCAGGAATGGATTACAGCTTTAAATCTACTGTCGTCAGACACATTAGCTTTCTATCACCCAGATTTATGTACCGTAGTAGCCATGGATGCATCTGTTTCAGTCTTAAAAGTTATACCTCTTATCGTTAAACTGTGACAGCTCGTTCTGGACTTCCCCACCAACAGGAGAATCCTTCCTGCGTGTGACCTGTTTAATTCTGTTAGAATTTTTATAGGTTTCTACAATCAACTCAATCTTTCCTCATACGCCATCCCTGCCATTCCCAGGAATTCATTTGGTAAACCTTCACTGCGCTCCCTGTACGGCAAGAACATTATTCCTCAGTTAAGGAGACCAAAACTGCAAACAATATTCTAGGTGTGGCCTCACCAATCACTGTATCATTGCAGCAAGACAAGCAACATTTAACAGTTGCAGATGACCTGCTGGTGTATGACCATAGGTTGGTTATGTTGAAGTTCATGAGGTAAGAATATCCAAAAAAATCTTTATGGTGGACACTTAGAAATTTCAAAATGCAGAGCGCAAGCTCAATACTCTGTATGACAGATAGACACTTCCAAGGAAATAGAAGATTTTACATCATTGAATCTCACATATGCCAACAACAATCAGATGGCAATAGAATCTTCAATGTCTTCCAAACTTCCAGGAAAGTCTTAGAAGATCAACTTATTTAACAACTGAGGGAAGACACATTTGGTGCTGGTAGACTACTACTCCACAGGGATCATGGTTTTAAGAATTCACTTTACTCCAAAGGAGTCATTTATTAGAGCGCTGGACTAGGTTTTTGACAAGCATGGCTTCCCAAAGGAAATAATTAAGGATAACAGATCTCAAGTTGTGAACAAAGACTTCGAGAAGATTGCCATTGAGGCAAGTATCAACCAGGTGACAAGTTTTTCTCTTCATCCTGAGCCAACTAGAGTAATAGTTTTCAGAAGAATAGAGCCACCATAATCAAATATAACTCTTACACCTGAAGGAGCACTCAGAAGAAACAGAAAGGCAATGATCTTACTCAAGTCAAAACAGAAGTCCAAGTATAGTTACCACAAAATGTGGGACAGAGATTACTGTTCTCAAGCAGATATCTCAAAAAGTGATACAATAATTCCAGGAATGGTAGGAAAGGCATGGAGGTGACAAAGGCATGAATGAGAATTTCAGTCGCAGACGAATTGAGGTAATGTTAGGAGTTGGATGATGTTAAAAACAATACTCAAATAAAAAAAATGCATTTGTAAGAATAATGTAAGAAATCTTATACAGTCTTGGAGGAAAACCTTTTGATAAGCAAAGAATATAAATGCAAAATGTTAAAGTATTAGTTGTAACTGCCTGTAAATAGACATCTAATTTTGAATAAATAATAATTTTGTCATGATCTGTCAATTACAATGTGCGCAAAATTAGCAACAGAGATAATCCTGATTGATTTTAACATTATTTTTTATCTGATGAATAGATTATTTCATGTAAAAATAAATAGCTCACATTTGAGAGCATTGAATGTTGGAAAAATAAGTAGTCTTGAAGAAGAAGTGAACACACAATTCTATGCATCCCTATTATCATAATGTACACTGTTACACTTCTCTGATGTCAGGCCTTTATTCTTAATATTTTCTAGTTTGCAGTCTGAGAACCCATCAATTTTGTTCACATAGTAATTTTAATTTCAGTTTTTGGAATCTAAGGACTTCTTATTTTATGCACCTTTTCAATCAAGTTTGGATATTGGTTTTTGAGTACTTATTGATGTTTCAGTTTGCTTAGTCCCAGAATTGCTCCCTATTTCTTGATCATTCTGGAATGCAAAATCATTCCTCCCCACCCCACTTTACCACAGCACTGCAGCCCCCGATATGCTGCTTTTCTGTACAGCAAACTGTCTTCCTAAATCCCACTCTGCTTGTCTTCTTCTTCTTCTTCTTCTTCTCCTTCTTCACCTCCAACAGTAACTGGACTTCTTTGTCACTGAGAATATTTGCTATTGCAACGGCTGATCCTGCATCCTTCCCTTCCCCTAGCAACCAGGCCAAACCTCCTCTAAAGTTCCTCACAGCTTTAACTTTGAAGATGCATGTTTCTCCAGTTTCTCTCCTTTCTTTGTTCTGCCATTTCTTGGCTCATCTTGACCATGAGACTCACTGCTTACTCCATGATCCTACTCCCACAAAACTGCTGGCCATCCAATTTCCTTTCCTAGATCCTGAGTTAGCCAGTGTTGTTCACAGTTGTCACTTTTCAGCTGCTGTCCCTTTCTCTGTCTACCGTCAACACCCACTCCAAAAGCAACACCAGCCAAAATAACCAGTCCAGCTCCACCCTCCCAATCCTTTCCAAAGACCTTGGTCAGGTTGCTGCATTGCACAATTGTACTCCTCTTTCTCAGAACACCATGTGTGACTCTCTCCAATCAGGTTTCGACCTTTTTATCTCCAATTGCATATTGGGAGGAAAGAAACTGTTAGTTTTCAATTTTGCCTACTCCTTTCTGGCTGCTGAGTCCATCTGTTCTCTGACACAGTTTGAGCCTAAACCAATTTGTTTGCAATCTTGGTGCCATATTTGATCCTGAAATGAGCTTTGGATGACACATTGCCAAGCCCACCTATATTTGTTTCTGTAACAATACCCAACTTCACCCCTGTCTCAGCTTACTTTCAGAGGCTGGACAGGCATCAAATCAATAGCACATGGAATATTTCCACCATATGGAAATAAATAATTCAGGGTCAATTGAACTTGTTGGGAACTCAAATAGTATGGGTAGGTTGGCAGGAGTGGGATTCCTGTTTATCTTTAAAATCTTTAAGATAGTAGGAAGGAAGGGTGCATAAAATACTGTTTGCCAATTGACAAAGCAGGCTACAAGTAGGTCTGATTCTTGACCCTGGGAGCAGGTCTGATCCTGGTCTCCAGTGGCCTTAATAGGAGAAGGCCTATTAAGATGGTCTGACAAGAGTACAAGTACAAAGAAACAAAAAAAAACTAAACCAAAGGCTCTGTATCAGAATGCATGTCACGTTCATAACAAAGTAAATGAATTAACAGCACACAATGAATGAATTAAATATGATCTGATAGCTTGTATGGAGATGTGGATAAAAGGTTGGGTCCTGAACACAGAGGGGTATATAACATTCAGGAAGAACAGGAAGTTCGGTAAAGATGGGGAGGAGTAGAACTAATAATCAATACTTAGAAATTATCTTGGCTGAGGAGGTCAGGTTTGGATGAAGTCAGTGATATGGGTGGTTCCCACATGAAAACCACAATGTAGATGAAGTATACAAAAATAAGTACTAAGTACTTGTCATAAAGCTGTGCCAATAATCATAGGTATTTTAAATCTATGTATAAACTGGAAAAATCAGATTGGCATTGGCAATCTGACTTGAAGGTTTACCATTTATATCAATGTTACAATTTACATCAATGACATAGATCAGGAAGTGAAAGCATGATAATTACATTTGCAGATAACACAAAGATGGCTAGGAAAGTTTGTTTTGAAGAAGACACAAAGAGTTTGCAGAAGGATACAGATAGGTTGAGTGAGAAGGCAAAATCTGGCAGATAGATTATAATCTGGGAAAATAAGTTGTTCACTTTGGCAGGAAGAATGCAAAAGCAAAGTATTATTCAAGTGGAGAATGACTGCAGAAATCCAAGTGTAGAAGGCTCTCAGTGTTCTAGTGCACGAGCCACAAAAAGTTAGTATGCAGGTACAGCAAGTGATTAAGAAGGCTAATGGAATGCTATATTTTTTACAAGAGGAATTGAAAGGAAGAATGTTATGTTTCATTAATACAGAGCATCTGTGAGATCACATCTCTCACACCATGTGCAGTTTTGTTCTCCTTATTTAAGGAAGGATGCAAATGCATGGGAAAAGGTTCAGAGGGAGTTTACTAGATTGATGCCTGCCATGATTGAACAGGCTGGGTTTGTTTCCACTGGAGTTTAAAAGAGTGAGGACATGATTGAAATGTGAAAGATCCTGGTTTTGACAAGGTGGAAAGGATGTTTCCCCTTATAGATGAGTCAAGATCTAGGGCATCTGTTTTAAAATTAGGGGGTTGCAGTTTTAAGATAGATAAAGAGAATCATTTTCTCTGAGAGGGTTGTGTGACTTTGCAACTCTCTGCTTCAAAAGAACAAGAGACGGGATTAAGGGCCTTGCCCCTCCATATTCCCAACACCACCTCCTCCTCCTACAACCCTCTTAAATCCCTGAGCACTTCCAATTCTAGCATCTTGCACATCCGCAATTTTAATCACTCCACCATTGGTCCCATCAGCTGTCTTGACCCCAAGCTTCTCCCTTTTTCTGCCTGTTTAAAAACTACTAGCTTTTTGCTATTCATTTCACATTTCCATTTCTTCTCAAGCAGTTAATTTAACAAAATTAACAAAATTTAACAGAATGCAGGAAGAGGAATTTTAAATGTGAAATAAGACAACATTTGTGATAAAATATAATTTGTGGAAATTACCATAATTCTAGTATTCAAATTCTAAGTAGCCGTAGAATATGGAAAATTAATAATGTCACTTTTTTTGGTAAATCTAGATGAGGAAGATTCAGTTATCCTGCCAATGAAATTTCTTGCAAAAGGGCCAGGTCGATACACTTGTCAGATTCTGCTAAGGTCCCCATGTGACATTCGTTTGTACAACATTACATGTATAGTGAATCCTGAGGACAACTTGGAGACTGAATTGGAAGTCATCGCTTCCACCCACCAATCTGTCATCAAAAATATTCCACTGGTACGTATTGTAAATGTAGGCTTTGTTTAACAAAATTCAGCATCATTCAAATGTTTTAATTCCTCTCTTCAGAAAATTTTGTGTCAGTCTCCACCTGCAATTAAATTCCAACCTGCAAGTCCTGTCACATATCAGTTTGCTATTTCAGTTGATGATCTTCTAATCAAGTAATAGTTTAAATTGAACATAGTGGAAATTAACAAATCATATTGGATATGTCTCTTGTTTAACCTTACAAAAATTGCAATTTGCATTAAATATTTTATGCAGAAATGTCATGGTATGGTAACGACTGGACTATATTTTTAAATCATTAGGCTTGTACATTTTAGGTGTGAATTTTCTGAACTGACATGGCACAACAATAATCTTTTAGGTTTTTGCAGTCCTTTTGTGTGAATTTACTAAGTTATTCTAGGGTTCCAGTCCTTGCTTACTCAAAATATTTTCTGGCATATTTCTACCAGATTCATTCATCACTTTTGAAATTAAGGTTATGTCTAAGAGCTCTCTTGTACAGGTTAAGAACTCCATTCACTGAATAGAAGAACCTGCTTTGGTAAGCATGCTAAGAAGCTGCTGAGATATTTGAAAGAAGATTTTCTCTTTATATACAGTGACAATAGAAGCCACTGACTACTCAAATGCAATACCTTATCTAAATGCACTCCTTTTAATAGAAAACAATTGACACCATACAGAGAGATGCAGTCAAAGAGTATAGTTACTTAGAACCCATCCATACAGTGTTGCTATTATTTCCAACAGTGCTGAAATCAAGCATTTTATTCATGTTAGGTATGATTTTGCTGATAATCAATAAGCTGTACGCAAGAGGGAAAGTATACATAACAATCAAAATATTGGCACGTGTGGATTGTACCTAATATACTGGAGAACATTGCATGAAACAGAAAAAATAAAAATTCCTGTTTATGGCATTCATAGCCAAGGAAAAGCGATTATCAAAGCTGTTTAATTGGTTAATTATGCATTCTGTTGCAAGGTATCTAAGAGAGAAGCATTAACAGGAATCAATAGCAATTAAATAAGATTAATAACTACTAAATGAATCTTGTTTCCAAAGAGCTGAAATACAACATTTTATGGACCAATTTAATTGACAGTGAATAAGCCGTTACAAAGGAGATAAAGAGCACACAACAATCAAAAACACAGAGACCCTCTGCTTTAAATTTTATTGTTGTGCCAACAAACGCACAAGTGACTACAGAGCCAAGATGCTCAACGATGGGGTCTACTGCACACATTTTAATGATCAAAAAAGCAGTAACTCATATTTGCATAACCCACCAGCAGCATGTGGATCAACATATTGAACATTACATATTTCATTTTAACATTGTCTTTCAAGGCACTTATAATGTTGATAAACACTCACTGATTCAGTGTTATTCTTGACATTTGATTTCTAAGACTGATTTTGAAAGCTCAACTCTTGAAAATGGGTTTTTGAGAATTGATCTACAGGTGTATCTTCCTGTATCATGACACAAAGGAGAATCAACAGGTATGTAGAAAAATTGGCTAGAAGCTGTGAGATTCCTTGCAGTAATTTGTGGAAAACTTACACTGACATGTCTAGAGTTTCAATGCTGAGTTGTTTATCAGATTTATGTGATCTGCCGATTTTCACATTCAGTAGGAACTTACACCAAATTGGATCATTATGCTCAGGGTGTTTACAGTTTGGTGTGCAGCATTTGAGAAGCCACGTTTACCTTGTTCCATTCTTTCCTTTCCCATCATGTCCAGATAATCTCTTCCATTCGTGTTTCTCCCAACGTTCTCACTGTTATTGCTGGAGTATCTCAAGGATTTTTGCCGAAATACTTCTTGTTAGCATCCTATTCCTTGGTGCCATCATCCAAATCCACAACATCAGATTCCACGTGTATATTCAACACCTGCAGTTCTAGGTCATTGCTAGCTTTATGATTCCCTCCATTACCACCGATTTGCCCTGGTACATGTTTGACATCCAGTGTTGAATTAGAAAAAAATACGTGCACTTAAATATTGACAAGACAAAAGCCTTTGCATTCATTTGAGCTGCTGATTCAAACTTTGTTCCCTCGGCATCACCTGTCTCTTACTGTCTGAGGCTGAGGCATTATTCAAACACTCAGTCCTAAAAATCCCTGACCTCATAGTCACTGTATTGCCAAGAATTCCTGCTTCCACCTTTGGAAAATTGCACGTCCCTGACTCTGAACTTTTGTTACCCCTCTGCTTGATTACTTCAATGCTCAACTAGCTGGTTTATGACCTTGCATCCTGTTTAAAATTGAACTAATCCGAACTTTGCAGCTGGATTCAATCTGCAGAAAGTCCTTTACACTCAGTTAAAATGCTTGTCCTTGTGTCTAAATACCTCAAATAGTCTCATGCCATGCTGTTTCTAAGAAGCAGGGGAAGAAGAAGATCAGGATGAGGGTGAGGAGAAACGAACACATGTTTCATTCAGCAAAGGATGATGAAGACAGAGAGGGTGAAGTTGGTAATAACAAATGCAGGAAAACCAGAAAAACAGTCGATGGATGAGGATATCACCCTTTCCTAATGGAGGACCAGGAGAAGGCTGCTCGTGATTTTGGGATTGTGGGACCTAGTTGGGTACTCAACTGAAAATTTGGATGTGTCTAAGGATGTGAGAGGAGCATTCCATTTATGTGCAACAATCCTTCACCTGCACTAAAAAACACAACCTGCAGCTTTGTTGACATCAGGACAGATGAGATAGAACCTTGGCATTTCAGCCCCTGGTGGCTGTGAACCAGGCTGCTGATTGTTAAGAATTTCAGCATTTGATAGCCCAGCCAGCCCTGTAATGAGTGGGAACACAGATTTTAAGTCTATGGGAACGGTAAGGGATGGAACAGGCTGACCTGTGGCTGCAGTCTTAAAGCATCAGCAAGCTTGGCACAAGCTTTATCGTGGGGTCCACTTCAATGAAAGAAGAATTTGATCAAAATAATTACATTTTTATTGTAAAGGAGATGACACCCATCTCTTGTGATTTTGGTCTTCAATGCATGTTTAGAATAAGAGAAAGCATTTTAGATATTCAGGGAAAGTACACTTGTCTTCCATTTATTTGATAGTGTTAAAATGATAAGCTCTTATGCTCTGATTTCACTTCCTTTATGATTGTCACACAGGCAAAATATCCTTGTATGAGTAATTTTCAATTAGTTGATTGCTATCAGTGTTGGGATCTATGTGATGTCATTTTTGAGAATGAGTATTGATTGAAGGATTGTTTTTTGTTTGGAAGTGGTTAACAGGCTGTGGTAACAAAAATGGAAGGTGCTAAACTGAAGTGAAGGCTTCATTTGATCAACTCCATTCTCTTGCCCTTTGCATGTGCCCTTTGAGTGGCAAATGATAATGCTGATCCTCTCCAAAACAGGTGTGGCCATCTCTAAGAAAAGACCTTTGTGGATAGCAAAATGAGGCAACCTAATATACTGTAGAGGCTACACTCAGGGCACTCCAGACATATCAAGGGAGTGCAGACATTCCTTTGAAGACTGCAATGATGCTCTTGCCCACTCTTATAGAAACAATGTAATTTTGCACTGCTGCTCTTTATTGGTTCTAACTGGAGTCAAATTATTCTGATATGGCTGTCTTTCAACAAAATAGTAGAAGACAAATGGAATATCTTTTTAAAAAGATAATCTTCAATATGCAGGGGCAGACCTTAGATCAGACTAAAAATATGATCTTAAATGGATTAAGAAGCAAATGAAGGCAATAAGAAGAGATATTGAGAGATACAGAAAAATAATATAGCTGCAAAGGTAAAACACAACAAAAAAAATACTCTCAGGAGTGCAATAGCAATGGAGGAATGTGTCTGATATTGAAAACTGTACACATACAAATGTCAATTATTCTGAATGATACTTCAAAGTAATTATGAAGAAATGAAAATTCCATAAAAGTGTATGGCAGAAAAATTTCAGAAATTTAATGCAAATGAGATGGTATTTCTAAACATATGTATAGAATCATATAGAAGAGGATATTCAGCCTATTGTATCTGATGACTTTTTAAATGAGCTATCTAATTAGTCCCAGTCTCCTGTTCTTCCTCCATATCCCTATAAATTTATCTTTTTTGGCATATGTATTGAAGGTGATTGACAAACCAGACAGAGGTAAGTAATAACCAATTAGTTTGAAGTCTGTTCCATGTAAAGTAATTAAATTAATTATCAGGAACAAACTTAATGATTATTTGTGTGACAACAGTCTGGCAAGGAATAGACAACTTTGCTACTGCCTGACCAGTCTCCGTGATCTCTTCCAGGAAGTGACGACCCAAATCAATTGGCAAACCCTACAATGTTGAATACTGTAGCTACTAAAAGGTATTAAAAGAATTCATGCAATATGAAATCTCAGGAGCAAAATATTTCAGATGCTGTAAATCTGAAATAAAAACAGAAAGTCCTGGAAATAGACAAATTCAGACATCACCTGCCAAGAAAGAAGCAGAGTTAATGCTTCAGATCAGTAAGCTGTCTGATGCAAGGTCATTGATCTGAAATGATAGTTCAATTCCCTTCTCCATGAAGGCTGCCTGACCTGCTGAGCATTTCCAGCACTTTCTGTGTTCTATATTGGCTGATAAATGACAAGTAACATTCACACCATACAAGTGCCAGTCTCCAATGCGATTGAATCCAAATATTTCTCCTTGAAATTAATTTTCTGAATGCCTCCCTGTCAATATTTTGAGAGTTACCTTTTACAAGAAACTGAACTAGACCAGCCGTGACTATAAGTGCAGATCACAGATTCTGTGGATTCTGCAGCAAGTAACTGTTTGTATCCTGTTTGGCCCCAGGTGAGATCCCAGACAACTGGAAAATAGCCAAGTGTTGTCCCATTGTTTATGGAAGGCATCAGGGATAATCCAGGAAATTACAGGCCTGTGAACCTTACGTCAGTGGTAGGGAAATTATTGG